CTCTGATTTTCCTGTGACTCCAGTAGAGGCGGAAAGAAGGCAGATTTGGGTGATTCGGTTGCTGAGTCTTACGGCCCTCTTCTCCTTTTTCCCTATTGGTTAGTTGGGTTGGCTGAGTTGGACGATGGGACATTCTCGTCATTACATTATTTTTTAATCTGTCTTGTAATGATGTGTCGCGGCTTGCCCCTTTTTGTTTTTCTTTTTAAAAAATATAAAAGAATTAATTTTTCACCATCCAAATTGTATATTAAAAATAATTGATAATATAAATTTATTAAAATATTTTTAATCATGTAATATAAAAAAATAATTTTATTAATAATATATGAATAAATTATATTTTTAATATCTAATTTATCTACAAAGTATTTTTAATAAAAAAATTAATTTTTTACTCTCTAAACTATATATTAAAAACAGTTAATTATATAAATTTATTAAAATATTTTTAATGATATGATATAAAAAATAATTTTATTAAAAAAATGTTGATAAATTATATTTGTAATATCTAATTTGTTAGAAAGTACTTTTTAATAATAAAAAGAATTGACTAAACTTAAGATTTCATTAGGTAGCCGCCGAAAGAACTCGTTACCAATAAAAAAAAAGTTCAGGGCAGTTGCCAAATTTTCTTTTAAAAAATTTATTGTTTATTTCATATCAATATTTTCCAAACGCATCTTCACATTTTAACCACCAAACATTTACTTCAATATTAAATTACAATTGTTAAATTTTAATTTATATACTTTTTTCCACCATCAGTTCAACATCGTGTGATGCCGTAATTCATAAGTGTAATATTTTTATTTTTTTTAAAGAAAATTCAACTACAAAATAGTGAATTTAAATCACGCACCATGAGGGGGAGAAAATATTGTGATGTAATCTATACATGGATACCCCCCAAACCATATTCAAAAGTAATAAACACCAATAATTTTTTTAAAAATGTTTCTTAGCTATTAGATGTTACGATAAAAATTTCAACTTTATACCGTAATTTTTTATAATAAATATCAAATCAACTAGTCTTTCATTATAAAAGAAATAGTTAATATTATAACAAAAATAATTTATAATTTATATTATAAAATATAAATTTTTAAATGAGAGAATACTTTTTAATATTAAAAAATTATTTTCTTAGTTAAAAATATTTATTTTATAATTTAAATTATAAAATAAAATACTCAAATTATAATAAAGCACTAATTTTCTTTTTCTTTTTTTTTTTCCAGATATTAAACACCGGATTTTGCTGGAATTATCATTATTCCCTTTGTATCAAAAAAGAGGACACCAATTATTTCCACAGAAGAAACAGTACAATTATTATTTTCTTGGCCCTCAAACAGTACAATTATTGGATACTGCTACCATCTAGTCAATCCTTCTTCAGGAGCTGCTGGCGTCGACTCGGCAATTCATTTTTTATTTTTCAGGAAAAAAATGCGATTTTGCATCGTTTTGTAAATTAGACTTTTGGCCACCTCCGACCAGTTCCAATGGAGGAATAATCTGCCGACCGAAGAAAGGTCGCCGGTTCCCAAACTTTTATTTTTCAGGAATTAGTATTTCCATGGTTGACTTTAGAAAAATATAAGGCGCGATTATTTTTATTTTTTTAAAATAATTATTAATTATTAATTTTACTTAAATAAATTAAATATTTTAAATTATAAATATTAATTATTTTAATCCATCACTAATCAATCTAATGATTATCCCTTGAAAAAGATGATATTTAAAACATCAAAATTCTGAATTTAAATTCGGACACTCTTTTCCTACAGTCAAGTTTCTCAGTTCAAAAAATATGTATATATATATATATATATTAATTATTTAAAAAAAAATAATCCAAATTGCCTGATAGCTACATGCATTTAATTTCAACATTTTCACAATCAAATTTTGGTGGTCAGAGAAAGTAAGACGTGCTTCCGTTATTATTCCACAGCCGTGTATATGCAAAAAAAATTCCATTGGTGTTGACATTTCAACGAGTAATTGCACAGGAGAGAATATTTATTATGATCGTTGGGTGTTTAACTTAATTGTCAGTCTAAATAAAGTTAATAGTTAATGTTCTAAATTTCATAATTAATAATAATAATTATTTATAATTTATCTCACACTCATGTACATGTAGCAAATTTCCATTGGTGTTGACATTTCGTTGAGTAGTTACCCAGCAAGGAATATCCACTCTTTTGTAGAGTATTTAGATTAGCAATTCAGATGAAATTAATAATTGTTAATCAATTTGAAATAGTTCATTATTGTTATTTATATTTTAAAATATTTAATTTGTTTAATTAAAATCAACATTTAATAATTATTTTCAAAATAGTAATCCAAATAGGTTTTTTTTTTAAGGAATAATATCCAAACATTCTTACGTACCTCTTTATTAATATCAATTATCAAAGTTTAAACTTAAAATTCTTAATTTAAAATCTTAATAATACATTTAGTTTGCATAGAGGGGAGGGGAGAGGTGAATTTTTAAATTAATAAAATTATAATATTTAAAAATATTATGATTAAATTTGTTAAAAAACTCAACTTTCCCCTCTCATCCTTTTAACCCAAACATATTATAAATTTATACTAATTAAACACATTTTAATACAAATTCAAAGGGTTAAATTGTTAGTAGTGTTTTAGATGAGTTGATTGCAATGTGAAAATAAACATTTGAAAGCAAGCCAACCAAACAGGTAAAATCTCTTGAAAGAAGTCAAAGGTTTTGTATTTTCATTTTTATTTAGGGATAATCCTAAAATGGCATGCCTGGCCAGCTTCCTAAGAGAGTTGACTCCTCAATTTTCAAACTTTAGGCTAACTCCATTATAGTCTGCTCCACAGAACTTTGGGGATTCATTCAACTTTATTTGAACACGTAGGACATGAGAGTCTGCTCCACCGAATTTTGGGGATTCATTCAACTTTATTTGAGCAAATAGGACAAATGCCTAAACTATATACCATATATATATAGAAAAAGTACATGTTGGTTTTGACTCTAAAAAATATTTGAAAGTCTCAATTTTGAATTATAACATTTTATTTAATTAAAACTTAATTTAAAATTTAAAAAATTATCTTATTAAATATTGATATTTATATTTAGAAATTGATTATATTAGAATATATAATGAGTTTTCAAATTTATATATAAACATTTAATAGAATGAAATTTAAGTTTTCAAATGTAGGTTGAGGCTCCAATTATTTTTGAAAATCAAGATTGATACGTACTAATCTATATATATATAGTTTGGCTAACCTATACCCTTAATAATACATTACATATACATTTTCATCATAAATTTGTATTAAAAAAATAAAAATCAAATTTTAATTTAGCTTAAACCACCAATTTAGTCCCTTAACAATTGTACCCCCTAATTTGGTCCCTAAACTAAAAAAACCCTAATTTGGTCCCAAGTTAGTCCTTCCGTATAAAAATAGATAACGTGTCTCATTATTAACATGATACGTGATCGTTAAGTAACAGTTTTTTATCGTTAGGTAACGGATACATTAATTGTTTTTTAACGAAATGACCAACTTGTAGCTAAATTGATAAACAATAGAAATTAAATCAAGGATTTTTTTAGTTCACAGACCAAATTGAGGGTCCATACAATAGTTGAGTGACCAACTTGAGGGTTTAACATTTAATTTATTAACTATTCAATTAAATTCACTTGTTTGTCACTGACATTAAAATTAATAACAATTTTTACATTTTTTTTTATACACATTGATAATAAAAAAAATATTCTTAACATGTGTTTTAAGGGTACATGTTAGAAAATTATATATATATATATATATATAAGATAAATATTAGATTTAATCCTCAACCTTTATCATAAATGTTAGATATTATCCTAATCTTTTATTTTGACTAAAAATGATTCTCAATTTTTTTCAAAATTACCAAACTTAATTATAGTATTAGTTACTTTTGTTAATTTTCAAATAAAAATCTTAACTAGAATTTTGGGAGGTCCAATATAATTTTTTACATAATTTTCTTTTAATTTTCATTGCCCTAAAATTATTTTATTAAATTTTGGAATCTTTACACACCCTAACTCTTCTTTTTGAAAAATGGTTGGGAATTTTTTTTATCTTACAAATAAAGGTTTATATATATGTTACAAGCTCAAATCCTATAATTTGATATAGATTTTCATTTTATATTTTTTAATATATTTTAAAAATAGTTATTTGTATGATAAATAATCTACCATTGAAAAATATTTAGATTATAAAATTTCTTTTATAGTTAAACTATTAAATTATGTCAAAAGTTTTTAGGATTGAAGCCAAGGTTTTACATTAAATAAAAGGTAAAAAATAAAAATAAAAATAAAACATGATCTTTGGAGTCTAAAAAAAACAAAAAAATATAGAGTTCAGCAAAGCTTAAAGAGAATGAAATATATGTTTATTGTTAATTGGGGAAAAAATGGTTTAGTGTTTTTTTTTTTTTTTTTTCTATTCAAGGGTCTTGTTGGTTTTTCAAAATTTTAATTAAGATTTTTAACAGAAATGATTAACAGTAAAATTTGATTTAGTAATTCTAAAAAAGTTTGAAATTATTTTTAGTTTAAATAAAAAATTGAGATCATATTCAATATAATTTATGATAAAGATTAAGACTATATATCTAGTATATATATCTATATAGATATTGACCACCGACTAAACCATATTGAAAACGAAAAAAATTGTCAAAATTTGATGGCAGCTGCTTGATCAGGCTTGGAAAAACGATTGGGAAATAATAGTTGTGTATAGTTTTTTTATACAATTTTATATATTATTTAATATATTTTTAATTTTATTGAGACAAGTGATATTGACTCAATAAATTACATACCTAATTTTCTCCAAGGAGCAGCTTGTCACTGGACAAAAAAACTTAGAATCAGCAAACTTGCTATTAGTGCATATAATTTTTTTTTTTGAACAGCCAAAAGTAATATTAATTAAGAAACGGAGTACAAGAGGTACCCCAAACCCATTAGTGCATATAATTGATCACTGTCAAAATTGCTACATCTGCAAAACAAAAGAGGAGTTATAATGGCTGGAGTTCCTGCTCAGGAACAGCTCCAACAGGTTTGTATGAATTGAGGGATGGTTGTCTGTGTCTCCAAATGAACCATAGTCTAGCAGCTGATAAACCTAAAACCATTGCCATGATGAAAGCTAAAACGACGACCAAATAATGTTGTTGCCAACATGTCCTGCATCATTTCAAATAATGTTGTTGCCACCAAATAATGTTGTGAGAACAGTATCAAAATAATAGGCACGCTGGCTTTGAAGAGATAATTTAGTGAATTTCTCAGTAAAAATGCAACTCTCAATGTGGGATGAGATGGTAAGAGTTCTCCTCTCCTTCTTTAGTTGAAAATTAAGGCAGTAACATGGACATTGAAAAACAAGAAACGTAGTGTTTCACTGATGGTTCAGCCTTCCACTGCACCAACTGACAATTTCCAAAGGTATCAGGAAGCTGCAGAAGATGTTCAGAAAGCCGAGAAATAACACTCAACAGGCAAAGCTCATTAAGCAAACAGTGGTGACCTAGAATATTGAAACTATTGCGATATGATAAACACAGACTCACCATTGCAGTATTGCAAGAAATGTAGCTTGCTGATCCTGAAGGGAATATGGCCAATCCAATGAGAGAACTGTTTCCTTCAGATGTAAAATTCAACAGATGAGCCTGAAATCATTCATTAAAAATTATTTCATCAGAATTGAAGAAGACACAGACAACTTATAAAAAGAAAACAAGCGATCGGTTGTAAGAATGAAACTCCAACTAGTGCCCATACCAATGATACCAAGGGTGAAAATTGTGATGCTAGAGTCTCTTACCCTAAAAAAACTAAAGGTTAGTTGCATAGTTTTTTACCCTTCTTTTGGGGAGAATATTTGAATCCCCCTCTCGACATTTCTTCCGAAGTATGCCCAAAAAGTCATTTAACCTCAACGTATCACAAGCCAAGGGAATGAAATAAATAAGTTCATAGGCTCAACCACAATTTATTAAAATGATGCCCTAGTTTAGGAACTGGATCTTACAAAATTCTTAAGAAAGAGAATCTGAACAATTCACTGCAGCCATCTGAAGAACAATATTAGCTACAGAATATGAATTACATAGTCAGGCCCCTAAAGTTTCTAAGCATGTTCAGGTTGCAGCCTTGCTTCCTTCTACATACTCATACAATCTGAATTACATTGTGTTGTTTGAGGCGTTACTGAGATGGAGTAACCACTGAAGTTAGAGTGTAAAGTCCCCATAGGTGGTAGAATAGGCAAAATATGCTTCAATCTAGGGAGAGAATAAATTTATGAATGCAGGTTAACCTTGACGGTACTGAATCAGCAAAAGGAACTTCATGATTATATTGTATCTTGAATTGACATAAGTGTTTGAGATTGGTCACTCAATCCTGTGTCTATCTGGATTACAATTTTAAAGAAACACCCCGAGAAACAAGATAAACTATAAAGGCGTATGCACCCATAAACGCACACACTACATTTGTAAAAGTTACACCACTGACTTCGGAGGAGAAGAATTCCAATAAAAGATACCCATTGATAACAACCACCAGTGTTGCCACAAGCCATGCACATGTCTGCAAATGAGAAAGAAGATGAAGAGAAAAGACATAAATGCACAAACATATTTTAACCGAGTATTGTGATTTGCTACATAAAAGAACAACTATAGTGCACAAAAAAGCAAGTAACTAAAATAGGAAAAGAGTGAACTTAATCAGCTATTCTACTTCCTACAATTGTAAGCTATACAAACATCATATCAGAAGCTAACATTAAAAAGTAGGAGCTTTGTCCCCCTTTATCCAAGAGAATTGGTGGACAAAAAAGGTAAGTGAACAGGCAAAAATTCAGAATGGTTAACAGAGAGCAAAATATTAGCTAATAATGCAAGGATGAAACCATGGCCTCACCAATATGAGAAACATATTAACTGGGCTAGGATACACCAGTAGTTTCCATTAACAAGCAATGATGACAGGCTGATAGCTCAACCAGCCACACGATTAAGTTGGGAGTCCACAGTATCAAGTACAAACTTAGAACAAGGCAACATATAATGAAAGGCAGTTGCACTTTAGCAGTTTCCCAAAGTATCAGTTTAAGTGTCAAGCAGCGGTTAAGGTATTTTAACCCTGTTGCTGAAAACGAAATAAATGGCTTTCAGATACAAAGATGGCTGGCCTTGGTAATCCCCACGATTCCCCCATCCTCACATCACTATCTAAGAAACGAATAAATATACTAGATGCTGCATTTTAGATCAGAAGTCAGCATTAACTAGATGCTGGTCAAAGTTATATCCTTTTGAGTTCTACCTGAATCACATGATTCATATTACTCATTAACACTGAATCCTCCCCAGTTCTATATTGCACGAGAACAAATCGCCTGTTCTCGTACAAAGATGCAAAACCCATTTGCTAGTTATTTAGTAATGTGACATATAATCAACAGATTTATAGCCAAGAACCAAAAAAATAAATAAATAAAAGCATACCTTGAGCGCAGGGCGAATTTTGAAGGAACCCATTATTTGTTCCTTGGATACCAGACACGAAAGGGGAATAAGAACAAATGGGATTTGAATTGACTGAAGCACATTTAGCCATTCAGTAAAAACAATCTAGGGTGTCCTCGTTAGTGTCAAAGCAAAGAGCCACTATCATATTAGGAATAATAGCACAGCTCCTCGTGATCAATGCCCTGAGCCATTTTTTGAGCTTCAAGTTCAGAAAACCTTCCACAATGAACTGGCCAGCATAAGTTCCAGCGATGGTGCTACTTTGTTCCGAGGCTAACAACCCAATACCCCATTTATATAAGATTGGCAAAAGTCCACCTCCACATTTTTCTTGAAGATACTGCCCCGCATTAACAAGGTCAATTCTATTGGCTAGTCCTGTACCATAAAACCCGTTGGCAAGCACAGTTGTAACAAATATATTGATTATAAATGAAAGTACAAGTGCAGCAGTGGACTCTATGGAGTAGTAATTGAGAGCTTCTTCATTGCCTATCTTCAAAAAAAGAGAACTACCAATAACAGAGAAGGAGTAAGGATTTTTGTGGGATAGGGGTGGGATTCAATTCCCCATCGTTAATAAAAAAGAGAGAAAGAAAAACTAGAATGCAAGTAAATAATTTAATAATAATAAAAGTATTAATCCATTTATTTTTTTTATTAAATTTTTTTTATCTTGTACCTTTAATATACAAATTAAAGACATAATAAATGTACTTTTTATTATTGTGATTTTAACTGTTAAAGATTAAAATGTATTAATCACAATAAATGATTGTTTCATCCTGTAATTATCCTATTATTGTGGATTCTGGTTGGTTTATTATGGTAAAAAATGTTGTGACACAGCTGCCCGTGTTAGCATAAGTCGTTCACCACAGAAAATAGGGCTGATCAATCGTGCCCACAGAAACGGCAGCGTCTCACTCGTAAATGGCTAGTGCTAGCACGGGTAGCTGCGTCGCCCTATCGCCACAACATTTTTCATTTCACTTCAACTTGCTTATTAAAAGATTTGATATCATATATTCAAGCTTTTATGGAATCAAACAATTAATCTTTATATATATAATAGAAAAAGATTTGTCTAACCTATGTATTAAGGGTATAAGATTAAAAAATTTTAATAAAAAAATATAAATAAATTATTACTTTTATTATTATTGAATTATTTACCTATATACTAGTTTTTCTTTCCTTTTTCTTTTCTTAACAGTGGGGAATTGAATCCCACCCCCATCCCTCAAAAATCCTTACTCCTTCTCTGTTAATAATTATAATTTTATAAAAATTTGATTAATTTAATACTCATTAATTTAATTTTTTTTTCTCTCTTTTTTATTAACGATGGGGAATTGAATCCCACCCCTATCCCTCAAAAATCCTTACTCCTTCTCTGTTAATAATTATAATTTTATAAAAATTTGATTAATTTAATACTCATTAATTTAATTTTTTTAATTTAAAATTAAAATTAAAAATTTAAATCTCTATAATACTAAATAACTACTTCTCTAATGTAAAAAAAAAAAAAATTATAATTTCACTTTTTAATTTTTAAAACAAAAAGTTTAAGTGTTTTATTGTTGAAGAACAGAGCGAGTATTATTCAATAAAAAAAAGTAACGATTTTAAATTTGCTCTCTCAATAATTGAAAAAATAAACATCCCTTCAGTCTGGGCTTTCTTACATTAATTCTGGACTAAAAGCCCAACTTTCAATACAAATTCATAAATTCGGGAGTTTCTGTGTCTTAGTTT